GGGACCAGTAGTGGATATTTGATGGTTATCAATTGCCTGAGCCTTACTTCAGGTTCCTAGAAAGCAGAATGATTGTGCACTCATCTGTGTCCTTGTAGCCCCTGACGTAAACTTGGAATTGATTGCTTTTATGTGTTTGGTAGACGAATATGTGAATGAAGAGGAGATTGAATCTGGGATAGATGTATGTGTTTGTTTCTCAGATATCGTAACAAAGATTGTAGCAAGAACCATGAAGAGAAGCCAGGGACCCACTGTCAGGACAGTGTGCCGCACTGGCTTGAATATGGAAAATCTCCCCCTGTCTTATTTGCTACAGACTCCAAAACGTCCCAGGGAAATGATTTGTGACAAAATTGCACACACAGAAAGGCCAGTATCTTCACACAGCCAGAGATCTCAAGCGATGAAGGACACAAAGACACTATACACAATAGGTGTTCCTGTTCGTTGTCTGCCGATTCGGCTGTCTTTGATCTTTGGAGGGGTGGATCCTGGCTGAGGTACTGTGAATGATAGCAGACCAGAGTTAGAAGCACAGCAAGCGGCGTGCTGCTCAGCAATCAAGCCTCCGAGGTCCCCGGCCACCGCACCTGGTGATAAGCATCTTCTCGGTGCCTTAGAGTCTCGAATTTCCTTCCAGTCTGACTCCAAAGGGCCTGCTTCACCTTTGACACCTTGCAGTGGGCCACTTTGAGTGTGTAGGTTCTTTCTTTCTGAGGGCATCAGAGGCTGTGGGTCCATCGCTGATTTTTTCCTGGTATCACCACGCTCTTCCGTCCAGATGCATCTGTTTCCTGCAGCTTTCTGCAATGCGTTTGCCTCTATCATGAGCCTGAGGGATGAGAACTCGTTTTCCTGTAGTGTGGCATTGGTGTTTGTTGATTGGTTTGAAGTTAGGAAGTTAAGTTTATATTTCTGTCATATATAGTTTACAACTTTTACAGGTGTCAGGAAAGATATAAGATAATAAGATGACAATTCTGTACTAAAAATTGAATCCTTTAATAATAGCACCAGTTACTTAGGTGGTCAGAGGTAAAATACAAGTTACTCTGAAATATTGTGGAAGAGCAGGATTAGAAATCAGTCTTAAGGAAGCCTACTAAACCTTACATTCTCAGCATGGACAAGGATCCTAGAGAGGGTATAGTGAAGGGATGTTTCAACCCTCTGCACATAATGATCATGTAGGAAATTTTTCTAGAAGACCAACACAGAAGTTCATTTGTCTGAGCAGGGTGCAGCAGGCACTGCTTTTTACAAGCTCTGCAAGTGATCATGCCATGCAACCAGGGAGGAGATCCGCCACCTTGGGAGAAAGAGAGAGATCCCAGCCCCCGTGGAACAGGTGCTCTGTCATGAGCACTGTGTTGGCTCCTGGACATTTGCCATCCCTGCTCTTCATGATAAGTGTCATGGCTTGTGTGTGGATGTCCCCCCAAAGCCTCATGTAGTCATAGGTGGGGCTTTTTCAAAGGTCACAGGATCTAGAATCTGTGTTGCTAGAATTGATTCACGGTGCAATGCTAGGATCAAGGGCGCTAGGATTAAAGATGGGAGTGCTAACCACCCTAAGTAGCCTGGATAAAATACCAGGGACAGAAAGACCTGTGAATGTCCCTTGTTGCTTTGCTACCTTCTGCCCATCACAAACTGTTTCTCCTCTGCAAGGCCTGTCTTTGATGTGCCACCTGCCTTGGAGCCAGTCAGTTAAGGACTGAAACCTCTGCAAACTGTGAGCTAAATAAACCTTTCCTCCTTTAACTTGTGTATGTTGGGTATTTTGTCTCAGCAACAAGAGAAAAATAACTATGACACTGTAACAGTTGATACATTCTGTGGACTTGAGAAGTTTAAAAGTTTAATTAAGCAACTTAGCAGGGAGCCAGGTTGCTCACTTTGTAAACACCCTCATCCTGTGAAGAGAACGGCACGGAGATGGTGTGAGTACTACACCCGCCCTGGCTGAGAGTAGCCTGCTTACAACGTAAGGGAGGAAAAGAGGCTTGCTGTTACCCGCTTGGGCTCTTGCTGCTTTCGCGGTCTGGTGCCGCCTTGAGCTGCTGCCCCTGTGCCCTGCCACCTGTCTTGGAACCAGCTGATTATGGATTGAAACCTCCACAGATTGAACTAATAAAACTTTCCTTCCTTAATTTTGAGTGTCAGGTATTTTGTCTCAGCAAGAAGAGAAAAGTAGCCAAGACAGACACTAAGCGAGATGCTTTGACAGACAGAGGAAGTGAGGCTGGATCTTCACGTGGGACACTCAGCTGCCCCCTGACCCACCAGTGGCCCTACACGGATGAGAGCACACTCCTTCCTCTTCTCTTCAAGATCAGTGTGCTCTGATTGCCTTCTGCTTTACCCCTCGCAGAGACAGTCTTACCCTCTGGAGTTTTGAGAGATGCATCCCCAGGCTAACTCCATCCCAGTGAGGCTTTCTCAACACTCTGTCTCCATGAAACAGTTTTCTTATATGACATGTACGTTCATCTTTGTAAGTCTCTGCATACTGGTTTCAGGTTCATCTGCAGAGATTCCTGGTCCAGAAGCACAATGAGAATCCTTACAGTGCACTTAGCGTGGTTGCCAGGCTGAGTCTGTTTCATCTCCTCATTCTCCCAGCCTTCAGTCCTTCGCTCCCTGTCACATAGGAAATGGTAGCCATAAACCCAGGCACGGGTTTGCTCTTCCTGTACACATTCTAGCGGTGACAGTGTATGCCCAAAGCCTACCTGTTCTGAGTGGTGAGCAGGGAGCAGGACGCTTCGTGTGAGCCCTTAGGAAACACTGGCTTTTAGGTGTGTCCTGTCACTCCCTGCTTCCTAGTTCTTGAGGCTCTTTCATGGATCCAGTCCAGGTTGTTCCTGCCAGGCTTAAATGAAGATAATGGGTGAGTCAGGGGAGAAGCAGACAGGGAGAGGAACCGTGCAGATGGTGAACACTGGAGAAAACCATTGCCGTGTGACCGTGGAGAGAGGGAAAACCCTTATCTGTGTCTAAGAACAAGTACGTCTTGCCTAATCCATCAAATTGGTAAAAATGGGAAAACAATTTGATTTAGTGACCGAGCATTTTTCTTTGATTTTTTTGGTGAACATTATGTATATTGTGTAAATTATACACAGTTACTTATTTTTCTTTACAGAAGTAATTCCCAAGCTGTATAGAAAAAATTAAAAGTATAGCCAAAATAAACTATCTGTAAGCTGTCCACCTCCCATCTACCACACTGGTGTACGTCTTCTGTGTGTAGGTACCTTGGGGAAGAATGTATATGCATTTTGAACATGGAAGACTTCCTACTTAACAGTATAGGTAGAACATTTTTCTGCAGTATTTTCACTGGCTGCTGAGCATCTCAGTATATGGATATACTCAAGTGCATTTCATCTCTTACCACTGGGTATTTATGTCTTTCTAATTCTTAGCTCTGGCTACCAAAAACAATACTTCAGAGACCATCCTCGTAGCAAGTTATAATTAATACCGACCACTTTGTGAAGTTATATACAGTAGGAACTGGGAGTAGAGAATCTTCTGAGAGGTAGTTTTATATGACATTTATAACATCCGGCAGCGTTGGAGAACCAGCAGAGACCACCAGGCTTGTGTAAGGCAACGTGGCATGGAATTTACCGTGCCTGAGTGCGGGCAAGCAGAGGACGATAAAGACGTCTGCAGCGAACTAAGAGAAACGCGTCCCTTTTATAGGGAGGGAAAGAAGGAAGGGAACATCAGGCGGGAAGATTTTAATACACAGCAGTGGTCGAAGCTCTCTGGCGGTCTTGCACTTCAGTGGACATCCTTGAAGTGTCTCGTGTAAATTTTCAGGCGTCTCCAGATGTCCCCAGGACCTGCAAAGTTCCTTGTTCTATCTTATCTCCTTCACAGCATCCTGTGCTGGCCGCTGCGTTGCCTGCTGAGTGAAGTGCTTCCGGTGGTAGGCAGGTTGGGGCTAGGAGGGTCAAGTCCAATTCGAACCTGACAGTGGTGATCCTAGTTTACCTGTTCTCATGATGACATCTCCAAAATGAAACAAGCCCCATTGTCTGTTTTCTCTTTAGGACATCACGACATAATAAATGTAGTGATGAATTGTGCTGCATATTAATCTGCGTTTGGATCACACAAAATGTAATATATTTATGACAAGGAATAACAGGTTGAAGTACCCTAAAAAAGAATGTAATTGCTCATGATAAATACAGGCTTGCTTAGCTGCAAAACAGCTAGCTTAAAATTTCCTGTGTAGTGCACTTTAAAGATCTCACTGATGATCTTGGATGCGTGGCACACGGCCATTGCTGGAAGGATATAACACATACTGTTCAAAGTTTGGGCCGTAATTGATTTAATGCACATTTTTACTTACTTGACATGCCATTTATCTTATATGAGAAAAACAATTCTATAGACAGGTGATAGGTAAGTAAAATTATAAGCATAATTTTATGATGTTTCAAGATCCACCCTATTGTTTTGTTTTGTTTTTTTTCCCGTCTAAGTTTATATGTTCTCTGCAATTGTCAAATCCTTGCCAGAATCCTGAAATCCATTGTTCAAGAACATTTGTCCTCCTGGCCCCCTCTGCTTCTGGGAAACAGATCTGCATCTTTATTTGGATGCTAGCTGCTTTGTATTTTATTATTGCCTTTGTGCCCTTGGCTTTGAGCCCTGGGGGTAGTTGGTTTTGCTTCAAGAAGTCTTTGGCATTTTAGCATGAGCACTCTAGTGAGGCCAACAGAAGGCTTCCTCTGGCTATTGGCGTCTTTCAGCCGCAGCTTGAAAGAGGTGGTGCCTCTTTACATGAGGGTTCCTAGACAGTAGCTGTATTTTGATGCAAACTTGTAATCACCAACTGTTTTAATTGATCAGACCAGGACAGACTACAGCCTCTTGAGAAGAGAATATTCTGAGCTGTGTTGAGAATAACCGCTCATCTTTTCCTGACTATTTCCCAGCTTTGATCCTAAACTTTTTCTTTTTCTCTTTAGGCTGGAGGCTCACAGGTGATTTTCACAAATCCTTTAGAAATCGTCAAGATCCGTTTGCAGGTGGCTGGAGAGATCACGACTGGCCCCCGGGTCAGTGCCCTGTCCGTCGTACGAGACCTGGGGTTCTTCGGCATCTATAAGGTAATTCTGCTTTCCACCATTTATTTGCTTGCTTTCTCATCTCATAAGTTAGCAACTGTTCATCACGTGACAGTGATTTCACCACCTAGAATTGCTCAAGATAACTTTCAACAACAACATTGGCTGCAGCTTTACTTAGCTTGGTTACTAATGTGGAAATCGAATTCCCAGTGCTGTCCTGCATGAGGGAGAGATGCGAGGGTCCTTGGCAGTATGTTTCCCAAGCTAGGCTGAGCTCAGCGTAAGGGGGAGCCCATACCAGCTGAAGAGCTCACAGTACCATCCGATCCTGTGTATTCGGGCCTTGTCTGTGTTTTCTCTTTCTATGCCTCATCTTAATTATTATAAATCTTAATGCTTTTTCATTTGGAAAATGGTTTTTCAAAGTGATTACAGAATGAAAATTTTAGTGTTCTTGAAAGCTGTTATTCACACTTACCTTCCCAAAGTTCTAATGGAATATACTAAAATCGTCTCCAGGCATGTGTCCAGCCTTAAAGCATTATCAAACAGAAGGTTTTAAAGACCCTTTAAAAATGTTTTATACTCACTTGAATAAGCAGACCTTTAAGAATGTAGGGGGGAAGTCAAAGGTCTACTTAAAATAGTTGTATTTATTTACACAGAAATATATACTATTACTTAAAAGTAATAGTACTTTGTTTCTGTACAACTCAGGATGGTTTCATTTCAAGACAGTCAAATCTTTTATTCCCATTGTTCATACAAATTTTAAATGAGGGTTTGGTCAGTATCCACTTTTTGGATCATGTGCTAACATGGTTTTGCAGAGGACATTGTCTTCCTTTTTAACCCACCACTGTATGAGGTGGAGCACTCTGGTCATCATGTGCAACCTTGTTTCTGGAAATTTTTTTTTTTTTTTGGTTTTTCTCCGGTACCAGGAACTGAACTCACGACCTTGCGCTTGCCAGGCCAGTGCTTTGCTGCTGAGCTAAATCCCCAGCCCCTGTTTCTGGGAATTTGATTCCATGCACACATAGCATGGAGACGGTTGATTACTCTTCTTATTCCCAGTTCATCTTGAGTGGCTGTGACTGACCCCCGTAATATAGAACTTGCCATGCTGCTACAGAGAACCTTTAAGGAACTGGTCTTGACAGTCAACACAGGGTTTAGTCTTTTTATTTTTTTCCTAACCTGCGTTCTACAGGTGACTTCAGTCAATATCCAGAACTAGTAATAATTGAGGTTGTTTCAAATCTGCCCCCGATGGCACTTTTCAAGGTCAGGTGATTGGGAGAGTGCCCCATGATCTGAGCCTGTGTGAGGATCAGTGTCTCTCTTTAGCAGGATTGATGTTAGCAGAGAAAAAAATTTTCCTGTATTAAAAGAATTGCCTTATTTACTTAGACACATGTAGTATTTAGGAATAAACATGCTGACTTTTTTAGAACAGTACGTAAGATGCTCCATCTGTGATTGTGCAATGAACGCTGTGTTCTACCCCTATTTTGTTTATCAGTTTATTACCCAGGTGTAAGAAATAACCAGTAGTGTCAGGAGGCACAGCACAGATCAGTTGGAAGAGAAGTCATCTTCTTTTCTGGATTTTGAGGCTCTTGCACTCTGTAACGTGATGTAGCAGCTTGTCATCCTGACACGGTGCCAGGCAGCCTTTCAGCAGGCTGTCTGGGTAGAAGCACTTGGGTACCATGACTGGTATCGAAATGTCTGGGTGGATAAAGCGGTAAAAACTTGTTTGCTGATACAGAAGCAGACGGTTAAACTACCTGCACAAGATACAAGACCAAGACTTAGTGCTTTTCATCTTCCTATTATTTTGTAATTGTAATCCTCTTTAACACTCCTTGGAAGTAGCTGGTATCCTGATTTTGTACTTGCGTGAGCAGAAGCTGCCAACCATGGTATTTGAGCTGAAATTGAGGCTCAGAAGTTGCTTGTTTCCACTTTCGTGCTAAAATTGCTTTCCTGAAATGAGCAGGATCGCTCAAGTTTGAGCATGAGCACACTACCATATAAAGTCGGTTTAATTACTGGTCTAGTGGTTTAATGTAGTTCAGAGGCATTCCAAAGGGCTTGGCGCTGTGTACAGCATGGTGTTTTTGGTGTATTGGTAACTACCAATTGAAGTCACTAGTGCTTTGAGCTGGAAACTTGGTTTCGTTGTAAAAAAAAAAATGATTTAGCAGTCTCTAACTTCTGCTAGCCGTCCTTATCAGCTAACGTGGCGGACCTGTCTCCATTAGCCAGCTCCACCTCTCCGTGCTGCAAGCTTCTCTCAGTAGACTGGCTCAAAGCACCACCCTAGGTGCTTGATCCTGCTCGTCCTGTGAACCTGGATTCCCAGCCCACCCCACCCTAACCTACCCCACCTCACCCTTCCAAGATCCGAAATTATTCTAGCAGGTTAAGGAGCATCACAGCTTTAGCATTGCTGTGTAGTTTCACGTGTTTTTATTTCAGGATAATGCTTTTTAGTAATAAAGCCTTTCTCTGTAGACTGCAGATGATCACAAGGGACCTAAAATTTTTAAGCCTGGTAGATGTCCTCTGAGGAGTCCTTTAAAAAGAGAACCACTGTCCTGGTTTTAGTTGGGACAGGTAATCTCCCTTCTCCCCGTGGCTTTTGTTTGGTACTGTTAACATGACAATGCTGAACCAGGAGCGGGGAGTGGGTCGCTCTGTCTGTATGTTTAGGCCTGCTGAATGTAAACTTCACCTAAATTGGACTTAACCAAGCTTTCTGTTTTTCCCCTGATTTGACTTGCAAAAACGTGTCTATTCTGTGACTTTGTGGTAAATGGCAATTAGAATACTTGCTTTAGAAATACATTTGCAACTAAAAAATAAAGTGTATATGGTAAACATTTCGCATTCCTGAAGTTAGAATAGCTCAGAGCAGATTTAGTGAGCTAGGTAAACAAAACTCTTTCCAAGGTAACATTTAGAGAGAGTGATATTGCACAAGAGGTATAAGATTGAAGTAAAAGCAGAATAATTAATTGTCTTTGAAAGAGTTACTTGAATATACTGTAGTTAAGAAATCTACAGCATATACTACTTTTCTGAAGAATCTATGAGGATGGCACTTGCCTAGGGTGTACAAGGCCCTGTGTTTAATGCCCAGGAACGCAAAAAATACTTTTAATACATAAAATATATATGAGAATATAATTCTCTTTCTCTAGGTAACTTTTATTGTCAAAACCCTTGGAGCATAAATTAAGTCAAATAAATTTTGTCATAGAGAACAAAGTTGTGTACACGTAATTTTAAATGTTCCCTCTTTAGGAGCCATCAGTCAGTGTGTAAAATTGTTCCTTAATATTAAGTGACAGCACAGCTAATAGTGGTCAAAAGATGCTTTTTTGGGAAGCAGTGGAAGAGTTCATGTCTTTCCATGAACCATGAGAACTAGTGTCCATGCATTGTGAAAACAAGTAATGATATATTAATACATTCTTGTTTATTCTGCTAGTTAGCTCAGAGAGTTGATTTTTAAAATTGTACAAAATACAGGTTGATGCTTCAAATATCAAATAATACGGAAAGATACATGCAAGAAAATGAAGTTATTTCTCCTTGTCTCTCCCTCTTCTCTTCAAAGAGTAGCCATGGCTTTAAGCTTTTATATAGCTTTAAAAAATTCTTTCTATTTATATCAACATTTATCCATCTTTTCTTCCTCTCTCTAGTACATCCTAAATTATACCAGTATCAATATAGCATTTTTTAAATGCAAATAGAGTATTTTAGGTACATTGTCTTAAAGCTCTTCCTTCATTGCTTAAAAGACCTGTGTATAATCGTAGAAGTTTTTTTTTTCTTCAATTTGTTTGTTTTGGGCTTTTTTTTGCAGTACTGGGATGAAACATTTTTTAACCATTTTGCTGCTCATGCGTATTTGTTTTTTCTAGAACTGCCTGGGCCATCAGCAGGTGGCTGTGAACAGCCAAGGTTGTGTTTGTGCTTTGGTGCGTAGGAAATGTCAGCCATCAAGCAAACAAATATGTGAGATTGTGCCATGCTAAGGACCTTGAAGAAGTAGAGAGCAGGGTAAGGGGATGGAGTAGGGCCAAAGCAGGACACGGTACCTTTCGCTAGGTTGGGCAGGGAAGGCTCTGGAATAAGGTACATAAGCAAAAACCAGAGGAAATGAGACTCTGATGGACCCTGCGGAAACCATTCCTGGGTGAAAGACCTTCCACCAGCTTTCTCGAGCTGTTAGAACAGAGCAACGGCTAGCCAGGTCGCCCTTCCTTTCCTCTTCACACTCTGCTTTGGATCACCGTCCTACCTGCTGGCTGTGCTGGCTGCCTTGCCTTTCTTCGGACACCCAGACCCATTCGCTCTTGCTGGGAAGCTCTTTCCTCCAGCTCTCTGCTCAGCAGACCCCTCCCAAGAAGCCAGCGGTGCCATTTGCTGTCAGAGTCGCCCCACCAGTTCGCTGGGAGCATCTGTCACCCTCTGATGATTTCCTTTCTGTAACTGTCTCCCTTACCTTGTGTGGACTGGATAGCAGGAGCCTATCTTGTTGGAGGCTGCATTTGTCGGTGTTTCTGGTTGTAAGTAGGCATCTGATAAATATCTGTTGAGCAAGTGAATGAAAGTGAGATGCCTCTCTTATAAACAAAGACAATCAGCAGGGAAAGCAAGGGAGCCGTCAGTGATGACCAGAAAAGACCGCGATACTGGCGGAGTGGAGTATAAAAAGGGTGGAATTTTATGAAACCTTCTTTTCCAGTTTCAGAGTTTCCAGTCTCTTTCACCCTTTCCACTCTGCTTCACCAGCAAGCTCTGCGCTTGGCTCTGGGGATACAAACATCAATCATTTTTCTCATGAGGGCAGTTAACCAGTTCCCCAGATCCGTAGAGCACGGCATATGTGCAGCTGAGAAGCCCTGCCTGGCAGGTGTGCGCACAGGGCTTTACAGGAGACAGAACTGGCTCGAGGCAGGAAAACCAGGGAAGCTTTCTGAAGGGGCTGGCCTCAAGTGAGGAACGGTGCCTAGTTC